AATAAAGCATAATATTTTTTTTTTAAATCCACATTACAACCAAAAATGTTTGCGATTTCTCTCTTCTTTTAATATACATATTTTTCTCTTGTTGGAACTACTATAACCTCTTCCTTTTTATATATATATATATATATATATATATATATATATATATATATATATATATATTTTTTATTTTAAAATTAAAATATGTTGAAATTGCTACACAATAGCTTTCCTGTTTTGGCACTATTTTGTACCTCTTCAAGCGAATGATAAGTGACTGATGATTAAATAAGTTTTTAAAAATTTCAAAGATAAAAATGTTACCTTTTTTCCGAAAGATATAGGTAGGGGTAAGAAAATACAAGGTCAGAATTAAAAATAGACTTATGGGTTTGTCTTGATTAACCAATTAACTATCAGATCTATGCTAAATAGAAAATTAAGCTCAGATGGTGGAGGTGGGAAAGTTATTTTTTTTCATGACATGATAAACCGCAACTTAGACACTTACGGAAAACATGTAATCAACAAATGTATTGTGATTTTAGATAAATATGACATGTTTTTCAAAGGACGCTGACGGGAAGGGAAGGAGGATAAGCAGATGTAAAGTTAATTTCAACAGAATATATTATTTTAAAATTTTCAGATTCAGGAAGCTTTTTAAAGGAACCTATTCATTCACATTTTATTTACAACATAATATTCCAACACATAAGTTTCAGCGAAATATAAATGTAATTATTGGAATAGCAAGTGTTTTATGATTTACCCTGCAGAATATTTAACATTTCCTGAAGGCATAGTATACATTTTACAAGCTCTGTTCCTACCAGCCTGTACCATTTTCAAAAAACTCAACTTGATTATTGGGTCACTTGCACACTGATTTTTCAAATCCCATATGCATTTAGACAGTGTGGTATTCGCATGATCTCTTATATTAAAAAAGGGATTCATGATTATTGCACCTGTACTTCCATGAGCCTTCAATCACTCCCAATCAATGTATGGAAGATCTTTTATTTCAGCCATATACACAACATTAGTTTACAAGCACTTACATTGCAATGGACACTTGTTGTAATTACAGAAAGTGTTGAAGTTGGTATTATCATCATTCAAAGAAACAGAGAAAGCATGTTTCTATTGCATTTCTTTATAATTTGGAATATGATACAATACATTCAGCACCTCAGTTGAGGAAGAGGAAAACTGGTTCATGTCAGTTTCTTTCATTTATATTTAATTGAGGGCCATTTAGGGGCATGATCTCTGGATTACTTCATTATTTTAGTTGAGTGGGTGTCAATATATATATATATAGGAATGGGTTGTATTATGTATATTCACTTATATGTATATATTTAATGAAGCGTATATATATATATATATATATATATATGCTTCATTAAATACGACTGACAAGGTACTGTGTTTAAGCTTTTTATTTAACTTTACTGGGCATAAGTTGTGCAAAAATTGTCCAAATGTTTTGTATGTACAAGCGCTTTTGGTATTCTCTTAGCAATTATTAATGATTTTTTATATATAAATAAAAGTACATCCTTGATAATTGCTAAATGAATTGTGGTGTCCTCAGCATCCTTCTGTAGAACCATATTTCTGTTGCTTCAAGTCATGAGTAAAATTTAAAAAACAAATAGCAGATACAAAGGTGGTAGGTTATTTCCCATTTAACATGCAACCACGTGACATTACAGTAGTCACGTGACAATTCCGTATAAAAGCATGGCCGAATTGAAAAACCTTTTTTTCTTCTTCTTCTTCTAGCAGGCCTTTCCAAACCAACGATAATGATGTGACCAATCGCTACGGTAGGAACACAATTTTGGTGACTTGCTTCCTCCCTACTTTTGTCACGTGTACACGCAGACATACACGCTGCATACATCAAAACTTATTTCTTAGTGGTGGTGGTGGGGGGGGTCAGTTGGGACTAAAAATCATGGTTCCTATGTTCATGTTCTGACTTTTTTTGCCTTTCCTTCATATTACAATTTTCGTTCACATATTTCTTTGAACTTTTTTACGGCGTATCCCTCAATTGAAATACATAGTAATACAACGGGATTTTAGGGGGTCTCTAAAGTAGTGAATGTTAGACAATTTCTTCACAGATGAAAAAGAGGCAACAGAAATGTGATTCTACAGAAGGATGCTGAGAATAACATGAACTGAACATGTGAATAATGAGGAAGTTTTAGGGAACATGGAAACAAAAAGGACACTTATATACTTAGAATCAAAAAGAAAGAGTTTTGAATTTCTAGGACACATAATGAGGAAAGAAGGTCTGGAAAATCTGGCACTCACAGGACATATTGAAAGTAAGAGTAACAGAGAAACATGTAAAGACAAAGCTTACTAAGAGCTGCAAAGGATAGAAAGTTGTGGCGAGCCATGATTGCTCACGTCCTGAAGGAACACAGCACACAGAAAAATGTGCCATGAATATTTATACATTAAAAAATATGGTGACATTACTTACCAATAAAGTCACAAGCCTCGTGGAAATATGGGTACAGATCCGTTGAGCTATCATCGCCTTTTGGGATATGAAGTACAGAGACAATCCTAAAAGACAACCAAAACCATGTAGTGTGTTCAGAGAAAAATATTTTATATGAAAAAAAATGATATTTTTTAATCTCCCAATAAAGCAGTCTAACAAGGTTTGATTAAATTTTGACAATCAGATTTGTTATACCTGAACGTACCTATTCTATTATTAATAGACTCTCCCACACATAATAAGTGGTAATAGTAGTAGCGGTCGCCAGTTGGGCTCAGTGGAGTTGAGTGAGTCAGTCGATGTCGGACATTGAAGTATCAACCATCACAACTAGATTGCTGCGTCATGAACTTTTATTTCAAGTTCCTAACGTTTTGTACGTCGGACCCTTATAGGACCGACTTATTGAAATACAAATGTGAAAATACTCTACAACACATTCACGAAGAGGGATTCGTAATTCATACGGAAGAAAATTTTATGAATATGTCCTGAAGATGGTTTATTAGACCGAAACGTCCGACGTTGACATATTAACATTAAAACAGCATAATTGTATATAAGGATTTTTGTTTGTTTTTTCCGTATATATTTTTCTTCATATATATATATATATATATAGTAAGGTAAAAAATCCATTGGTATATAATCCACATGGATCCTATTAATATGAAAATATTAGAAGTGATCCACAAAAAGAGCTCAATGTATTTTATTTATTGAGAACAATATAATTAATAATCAAATAAATCCTTTTACCTCAAATGGGGAATAGGCTATTTGGTAGACGACAAAAGTGGTCATCTGTCTTTTCAAACCCGGTGTGGAATGAAATGAAGTTCATGTCCTGTTCCTGTTTCCCATATGAGGTAAAAGGATTTGTTTAATTATAAATCATATATATATATATATATGTGTGTGTGTGTGTGTGTGTGTGTGTGTGAGAGAGAGAGAGAGAAATCTTAGAAAAAGGTGTGCTCGCCGGCAGATATATATTGTGTATTTGGGCATATATATATATATATATATATATACGAGTGCTTTTGGATATATATAACATTTGGACAATTTAATTCCGTTATTATTCGCACTTAAATATTCTGTGTGTTAACTTTGTACAAACCCCTTATCCTACTGATAATTTCATCCTCGTTACCAATTTTATATCACTTAAACTTAAAAGAAATGTAAATGATGTTATTGTTGTTGTTGTTGTTGGTGGTGGTGGTGGTGGTGGTTGTACAATAGGCACGACGACGAATTAATCAGGTTCTCAATTTGTTTTACTATAGATTACGCACTCTAAAAATTGAATATAATAAAAAATATTAATTTTATAAAAGTTAATGGAGGTGTCCAGATTGCTATGTAAATTCCTTGTAAATTTATCCTACGAAGGAAGCCAAAACAAAATATGGTCATACAATGGGATTTCTTAAAATGTAAAAGAATAGAAAATAACTTTTTTCTATGGTAACTAGACTATGAAATTAAACGCAATACTAGATTATCGGCAAGGTCTCATCATTTTACAGTTTAATTGGCTAGACGTATTGGTAAGTTCTAACAGTTTCTTCTCTCGCACTTCTTGCTTGTGGAACTCTCTTCCGGCTTCTTGCTTTACAGTCAACTTTGATCTCCAAAAATTTAAATGTAATATCAATCTTTATCTACTGTCTTCTTGATTACTGTTCTTTCTCTTTAATAATGTTTCTGTTTTTTTTTTTCTTATTCTTTCACACTCAGTAACCCCTTGTGTCTTAGTGGTTTTACTACTGTCTACTTAATTCTTGTTCTTTTAATGTTCTCTCTCCTTAATAGTGTTTTTATTATATATTCTCTAACACTCGGTAACCTCTTGCATTAAATTCTTAAATTTTAAAATCTCAATTTTAACAATACCATATCTAGTGTACTAATAAATATAATAAATATAGTATTTTACATCTTTATAAATAAAAATATAAATATATAAAATATGACTTAATCATATTTGAAGCCCCTTAAGGCAATCTCAATGTATTTTATAACAAATAAAAAAATATATCTCAAACTCCCCTATATTGCCTTGCTTGCGATGAAACGATTAAAAGAAAAGAAAACTGAAATTGAAATTTGTAATGTAGATGACAAAACGGACCAGATTACTGATTTCAAAATCAATGAAACGTACACATTGCAAGACTGTACATAATTTGCATAAAACCAGAATCTGATGATCACCACTCGTCACATCGTCTGCCCTTTTATCTGGCTGACAAATGGGATATGCCTTGTCCAAGCCATATCACCAAGGTACAAACAAATGTTCAGGCTACAAAATAAAACTGAAACTAGCGTGAATAACTCTGTATTAATGCTGTAGACTCGTCCTTTCCTACCTATCACCCCTAGTAACAGAACAGTCTATACCTTACGCCTACGTACGGAAAACTTCAACCAATAAAAAAACGTACTAAGCGAATCAACAAATCTCATTGGTTAACGACACAATAATCTGAAAGTTTCACGTGCAAAACAAAATTGCGCCAAAACTTCTTTGAGCCGATTTTGGACTTTCAAAAATATAAAAGAAAACATTGACTAACCAAAAGGGTCAGAGACGAACATCCACAGAAAAATTGCCAACATACTCCACGTCACTCGAAATCACGACTTTACCGCGCAAAAGTACATCAACGCTGACTCACTTGCCATTTAAACTCGACCAACTCTGGGGACATCAAATCGCAAATCTAAAACAACTTTGCTTATCCAAAGTGAACTATACTCACTACATTATTAAAAATCAACATTCGAACGATTCAGAAATATTACAGTCAAAGGTAGACCACTCTATAAGAACTCATTCCTAAAAACACTTAACATCGACATTTTTAATGTTAATTAACACAATTCCAGAAAGACTGTAACTGAACATACAAATACAAAAAGAGACATACCAAAACCTCAAATATCACACACACTTTGCCATAGTAACATATACCAAAATATCCTGTATATATATTACTTTTAATTGTATATAAAAGTTTTGTTGGTTTCTAAATTAAATATGTCTTGTTTTTGATTGTATTTAAAATTCATTTATTTATTTGTTTGTGGATACAGAAAGTCACACAACCTACACAAATTCCTTCTGATTCACTCAATTACAATTAATTAATTCTGCACATCCCCAACAATGTAATTCATTAAAAAGTAGAGATAAATTACTTAAGGGTTTTTGTGTAACAGACTCTTGCATCTGAGGATATCTTGCTGGTGTAATGGGTAGCAGCTCAAACACTTTATTGGAATGGTTGGTAAAACATCGACTGGATAGATCCAAAATTATAAATAATAGGGATTTCATTATAGTTGTTCACATATTTTTATAATTTACTAAATGACTATAAATCTAGGAATAAAAATTGTTTTCATATTTATTTCTTTATAAATTGTTAAATGATAAACATTGCGTTGTTGGTTTGCATATTTTCATAATGTTGTAAATATTGTTTGCATTTGATTTTGACACTCCAGATTTTTTTAGGGAATAAAGGTTAAAGTTTACCGACTTAACCACTGGGTACCATTTGAGATGTTTTACAAGAGATATCTTTGTCCTGAAATGACTGAACAGATATCTCACAAGAATTTTATTTGTCCTAAAGAGGCTGGAAGATATATTTAATTGTCCTTAAGTGGCTGACAAGATATTTATTTTTCCCTGAAGTGTGTGTCAAGATATCTAACAAGAAATATATTTGTCCAGAAGAGTCTGAGGAGATATGTTGCCAAGAATCGGTTTGTCCTAATGTGACTGACAAGATGTATCACATGAAATCTATTTGTCCTGAAGTGCTTGACGAGATGTATCACATGAAATCTATTTGCCCTGAAGTGGTTGCTGACATATTGCATAATAAATGTATTTGTCGTAAAATTGCTGATGAGATATGTTTTGCTGTCATGTCATCAGATATTGACAGTGATAATCTATAAAAACCTCATTGGAAAATAGGAGTCTTTTTTTGATTAGAAATGACAAAATATCTTTCCTCCTGCGGGCAAAAAGTAGTAAAAACACTGAAATGTGTATAATATCTGAAGTAATGAAAATAAAGTGTGATAATCATTTATATTTTTTGCAATTACCTTTTGTTTTTTGGTGGGAGATGTTGGGAACAGGAAATGTGGGCCGTAATGTTCAATTCTTTCTGAATATGAGGACGGGTAGCATGGTTAAAAGTTCCAAAGTAAAGCCTCGCATGAAAAATTTCATAAGGATATGTCGGCATCTCGTCAAGTTCCTGCATTAAATAATCAAAGAAGAAATTGTTAAACTTTGATAACTGCATCTGTTTAGAGGTGTATACATACATACATACATGATAATGGCTGTCGACTTCTTAAACGAGCATGAACATAACTGACAAGTTTGATCAATTTGGGAGGTCTCGTGAAAACAACAATGACTCATGAAACCTGCAAGGCTTATTGCAGATGTATGAAACTAAGTTGTTTTGTACAGGGCCTGGCCTGTTTTGTAAAGTCTGTTCAGCTTGCACTAGTGTTTTCAGGTGATGGGTGAAACTAGTGCAGTTTTTGCAGGTTTTCTGACACACCCTGCAAGTTATTTCTAGCATAGAACTGATAATAATTTCTGAAAGGTCTACCGATATGAGTCTTCTTTTGGATAACGAAGCCTGCATTCGAGTGATATATAATCTGCCACATTCATCACATATAAATTGATGGTCAACTGGATCAATGATTTCCCCTATTCTTGCTGCACACTTGACACTTGCCCAACTCATTGCATATTCTTGGAAGATATTTGTGCCTTCCTAAATTATACGCCCCCACTTATTTTGATCACAAGCAGCAGTTTCTCATTTAGGATCTTCTTTATGGCAAACTTCAAGAGACTCTTTTAAATTGTCCTTGAAGTTCTCCTTTGGTTTATGCTAGAGTTGAGTGCTGTAGGGCAATTTGCTTGGGTATTCTGCTGTCATCAAGGCAAATGACAAGGCCAGTCCAGCGAAGCTTGTGATGATAAATGTGCATTTCGATGCTTATTACATTGACCTTTTCAAGAACTACAAAGTTTAGTATATATACATGCATACATACTAACCAACAAAAGATTAAGTGATAGCCTCAAATAGAGAAAAACCTGAAACTCATCGGGTTCTTGCTGTTTAGTGATCACGTTGTGAGAAACTCAGAGTAGCAATTTGGAACTAGTCTCTTTGAGCTGTTTTATTGATTAATGTTACTGCTCTGTCTTGATCTATTTGCTAGACACATTGAGTACTTTCGGTTATTGCCTAAGTAGGTTTCTCTCTTTTCAGGCCTATTTTTTTTCTTTTGTTTATATTTCCTTTTCATTTGTCAGTATATTTGTTGTTGTTGTCTATTTTATTTTGTTTTTTATTTCTATATGTATATTTTTGTTGTTGTCTATTTTATTTTGTTTTTTTTTCTTTACTTTTTGTCGTTTTACTTCTTTTTTTTTTCATTTGGTAGTCTATGTGTTGGTAGAGTTGTATTTAGAAGTGTTATCAATATTTTGGTTTATTTTAGTTCTGGTTTGTTTTGCACACAAAAGTGAACACGCATGCACACACACACACACACACACACACACACACACACACACACACATGCGCATACACACACGCATACAGCCCCCCACACACATATGTAACGAAACTGACCACAATTTTGACATAAAAAATGCTACTCTAATTAAAAGAGAAGATAATTCAATAAGATGAAACTGTCTGGAAAGTGATTTCATTGCTAGTTCATTGACAGTAAATTTACATCCAGGTTCTTGCAACGTTTCACCGTTATTAACAGATTTTTTCTGTTTTTAAAATATGGGTTATCTAAAAACAAAGATGATGGAAAGAAAAAATACAAATGAATTTGGCTATATTTCAAAAATTAATTAAAAAAAAAAATTCTTTCAAAAATTTTGAAACTGCCAGCATCTTATATATATATATATATATATATATATATATATATATATATATATATATATATATATATATATATATATATATATATATATATATATATATATATATATATATATATATATATATATATATATATATATATATATATATATATATATATATATATATATATATATATATATATATAGTATATATATATACGCATATGTATAAATATAAAAGTGAACATTGAAGACAACAGTTAGAGGCGACAGTCTGTTTCATGCTAGACGCAATCGTCAAGGCTGACGATTGCATCTAGCATGAAACAGGCTGTCACATCTAAGTGCTGACTTCAATGTTCAATTCTCAACGTGGCGATAATGCTTTTAATGCCACACAGCTGCTGATATTTCTCTGTGACTCTCAGAGACATTAAAGAAAAACAAAACACGAACGATTCATTTTTGTTCTCAGATATTTCCACATTTCTTGTGTTGCAAAAATAAAATAAAATCTCCTCTACTTTGTAGCATTAACCTTAGTACCATTACATTTATAAAGTGTTTATAAATTATTATAAAGTGTTTATAAATTATTATAAAGTGTTTATAAATTATAAATTATTATAAAATATTAATAAATTATACATTATTATAAAATATTTATAAATCATAAATTATTATAAATTGTTCATAAATTATAAATTATTAGAAAATATCTATAAATTATAAATTATTATAAAATATCTATAAATTATAAATTATTATGAAGTGTTTATAAATCATAAATTATTATAAAGTTTTTATAAATTATAAATTATTATAAATTGTTTATAAATCATAAATTATTATAAAATACTAGCAGTAGAGTCCGGCATTGCCCGGGGATGTAACAGTAAGAGATAGATCAGGTATCAACCATCATAAAGACTGAAAAATAAAATTGACAAAGATTATTGTTTAAGGTTGACGGACACGCATGTCTTAATTAGTTTTTTTTTTTTTTTTACGAATTGGTCAAACCCAAAGTCAAACAAAAACATTGTTTTCAATCGTTATGAGTCTACCTATTGAATAGAATTTTATTATAGACAATTGTCTTGTAAATGGAATTTTTAAAGCATTCTGAATGTAAAAATAAACAAAAAAGTGTGCAAGACAATAAGAAACACTACCTGCCTCCCCCAAAAGTGAAGTTTTGTTGAAATCAGGTGAAAAATGTAGGAAATCAGATCCCATATGTAAATGAACACAGACACACACACACACACACAAACAACCTGGGTTTTATAATAAGCATAACTCGATATGAGTTGTCCCCCTTTCATTCTTGCGATATCTCTTAATCGTGTTTTCAAATTGATTTTGTGCAAAAACAATTGTGTTTTTCCAATTTTTGGCGCTGTCAGAACCACCGCAAGGTAATTTTACATAGTCCTGTGAAGTTTTGTTTAAATCGGTTGAAAAATGTAGGAAATCCGATCCTATATATAAACGAACAGACACACACACACCCACACACACACACACACACACACACACACAACCTGGGTTTTATAATAAGTATGATTTATAAATTATAAATTATTATAAATTGTTTATAAATTATAAATTATTATAAAGTGTTTACAAATTATAAATTATTATAAAGTGTTTACAAATTATAAATTATTATGAAATATTTATGAATTATAAATTATTATAAAGTTGTAGCTTAAAAACAGAGAAAACAATTAAGATATTTACCCTTATTGTGTACAAAATCTTCTGTGTTCTCAAATAAGGGTAAAGTGCTGAGAAACGCTGATAACCACCTGAAAAATAAATTTGAGTTTATAAAAAATACTTACATGAATTCTACAAATTATTTGATTAAAGAAAAAAACATTCTCTGAATATTGTCTAAAGTTCTACAGAACGATTGCTATTTATTTCAGTTTGGTATCATTTACTTTGTTTTTTTTTTATAATGTTTCAGTTAGTGTGAATATTCATCTTCCAAACAGATTACCGAAATTTTGAAATGGAATCTGAGCATTATTCAATATCTTATAATAAAAAAAAAAAAATTATTTTTATTTATGAATTGGTTAAGCATCTTGCCTCGTTGTGTTTTCTTTCAGATAATCACTATGACCTTCACTTCTCTAGGTCATCTGCTGATGTATTAACAATTATTGCTTAAAAAGTATATCAAGGTTTTGATAAGTATGGTGAAGCTTGGGATGTTGTTTTGAATATCTTGAAAGAGTTTGACAGAGTTTGCCATACTCCAGGAATCACTTCATTCACTTGTCAGGGGATATCAGCAATTGACCTCACCTCATTGGGTCCTCTTTCAGATGAGCAATATGGCTTTCACTTCTCTAGGTCAACTACTGATGTATTAACAATTATTGCTGAAAGAGTCTATCAAGCTTTCGATAAGAATGGTGAAGCTTGGGATGTTGCTTTTGACAGGGTTTCGCATGCTGGTCTTCTTCCCAAGTTAAAAGCTTATGATATTTCTGGATGATTTTTTTAAATGATTCAATCTTTCTTATCCAATTGCGAGATGGAAATTACCTTCAACGGCCACTCTTCAAGATCATTTTCCATTAATGCAGGTGTCTGTCAGTCTCTATCCTTGAACCTACATTATTTCTAATGTTCCTCGATGACATTCCTGGTGACTTCAGTTCTAACTTGGTATCTATACTGATGACGCAACTATTTACTACTGTCTCAATTGTAAGTCTGATCAGTTCGATAAAAGGTTAGATCGGTAGCTGATCTCAAAAATGACCTACAATCTGTTATTAACTGGGGCAAGGAATAGCGTGTTAATTTTAATGCCTCCAAAACAATACTGCTCTCTTTTAACTGCCTGAGTGAACACTTTTTGTCTTCCATCAGTATGACTGATGTTAACCTCCAGAAGATCGTAGTTGACAGGATATCAAGAAGCTGGAAGAGAGTTCCACAAGTGAGAAGTGCAAGAGGAAAAACTACTATAACAGAACTTACAGCTCCATCTAGCAATTTTAACAGTAAAATGATGAGACCTAGCTGCCAATCTAGTACTGCACTTATATGCATGAAGTCGAGGCTAATATAAGGAAACGGCTGGTATTACAATTACAATTAGCATATAGTATATAGAGATGAAGTAAAGGACAAATTTACTGTCTATAGTACCATTTATTGTTGACTCCATTTGATTACAGTGTTTAAGATGGTTGACTATTGTCATAGTACTTTGTGTGATTTGAGAGTTCATACAGGGTTGTTGTTTTCCTTTTGGTTGACGGAAATTAATTTGTTGCATTCATCCTTTCTTCTTCTTTCTCTTCTGGTGTTGTATACCAGGTCAAACTCACAGCCGATGAATCCCCAACCCTTGCGTCTCAAACTGCTACCTCGTCGCAAGTTCCTCTCCACTGTGGCATCTTTGGTCTTATACATGGTTTTCTTCTTTTTATTGGGGCTGACACATCCGTGTTTCCCATTTGATTTTTAATGGGATGTGCTGTCATTGGTTGATTTTTTTATGATATTCACTGAACCACATAAACTAAGTCTGGGTTCATATCCATTACCGAGGATAGGAACAATTGAATGTGTAATATAGAAGAGCGGGAGAGAGAGTTTTCTTTGTCACTCACTCAGTAAAGAGGAAAGTACATATTTTCATATGGTGTTATTACTACCTAATCCTACTACAAGCATTTTATGAAAGTCCAGTGGTTTATATGAAACTATAGTAAGAGTCCAGGCTTAGTTTTTCATTGCAGAAGTGTTAAATCAAGGTTTTTTTCCCTTGACTGCTAGCAATAACATGCAAGTGGAAGAGACGGACGCTATGGCTTATGTAAAGGTATAGTAAGAGTCAGTATTCACTTACTTCTCTTTTATCTTCATGTCTGGGTCCACAGATTCACAAAGCCATACAACCACAGCAAATATATACGGTCAAAAGATGGAGAGTCTTGTTTTGGAAGCTGATTAAGGCCTATCAAGTTTGTTTGTTTATGGTAAAATGGTCTACTTATATTCATTCTTTAAAAATTTTAGCCTCCACAATTATGTAGTAAGATACTTTACCTGCAAGAATCTTCACAGGATAACGACTTCCTTCCTGCCACAAGAATTGAGCATATTTCAGAATATAATCTGAAATAAAGAATTATACAAAAACTAATTACTTTACAGATGTTTTCTAGCATTATTGCCAATCCTTTTTCACGTTTTCTTCAGGTAAATATGTACTGTAGAATACGGCAAGGGTGTATTGAGGTAGGGAGAAACACCTAACCAATTGCTCTCTCAACCACTATGGGGGGGGTAATAAGCAGAGGAAAGAAAGAGCCAGAATGTAACAAAATGACAATGCCTCACAGCAGTTTTACGAGCAAAATCCCATGGGAGTGATTTCATAAGAACAGAAATCTTTCAAACTGCACACTGCTGACTGCTGTTTTTTTTTCCATCGTTTTTATTGACAGGAGACAGTTGGCAGAAACCCGGATCTAGACAAGTTGCAAAGAGGCTTGTATCTGAACATGCCAAGTTGTTCTGCTGCTAACAGAAAAAAACCGGATGTAACTGGTTTTGATGGATATGTCCACACATGATATGGAGCCTCTTTTTCATCTGTATTGGTACACATTCGACACAATGCATTTAGTTCAAAATATATTTATTTGTTTTGTTTGAATTTGGTGTGTAGGCTATGTTGTGTTCTCACAGTACATTTTATTATGTTATTCAGCTTTACTAAACATTCTTATGCTAAACAATGGCTCTTTGTCTGTTACTACTATTTTTCTATTGACTATTCTTTTATTTTTCCAATCTGTGATTTTTTATGGAGTCAAATACGTCAGAAAAAAGTTCCATGGAAACAGAACATTGCCTGCAAAAAGAAAACAAGAATAAAAGTTTGTACCAAACAAAATTCACCTAGAATTGAGGAATAAAGTCATCATGTAAAGTGTATGCAAATGATTTTTATCTGGGTCCAGAGTGCTACAGTTTTTTTAATGACTATGCAGACAATAAATTTTACAAAGATTTTCAAAGCAGCCACCTGCTGACTGAAAAGACCTCAGTGGAATAATGAATAGTGGCTCGGATTGAGGAATTAGAGAGCTGAGTTCAAACTCTAGTTGGATATTATTACATTCACTTACATGCTAATACCCTTGGGAGATGTATGAATCCTCTTCTTTTCCCCCCATAACTGGAAGGAGAAGAAGAGGTTCTTTAGCCTTGGGTGGCAACCGATCTAGGAAAAGGAAAAACTCTGAATTCAAAACCAGCCTCGGCCCCATCAGGCTATGGGGCTCCCTTCTTGTTAGTTAACCTACTTAGTCTTTCTCTTCAATCCTTTAAAAAAGGAAATAAATAAATAAAAACTTTCAGGATCAAGTGGTACATGGCCGAAAGTTAAGAAATTCTGCTTACAGGTTTATATTAACAGAGTCACAGGTAGAACAGTTCCAGGTCACCTGTTAGAGAGTAGTTTTGAACCACCCATCATTTTTGTTTTTATGAAAACTGAGGTAAACAAAAGACTAAATTTTGACTTCTTGGCTCAATCTGTGACAAGTAGCTTAACTTGTTTAAAATCATTACTGCTATTATTTTTCAAAATAAATTAGAAAACCTCATTTTCCAGAGGTAGTTCTACAGAAGAATGCTGAGAATGCCAGAGATGAAACATGAGCAACGAAGTAATTTTAAGAAAGACAGGAACAAAAATGACACCTGTGCTTAGGATCAGAAAGAGAGCCTTGAAATTTCTGGGACATATAATGAGGAAAGAGAGTTTGGAGAATTTGACACTCACATGACATACTGAAGGCAGGGTAGAGAAAAACAGCAACTAACTTACCTAATTAGGTTGTGTAACCAGATGACAAGACAGTGAATGGGAGGGATAGTAAAGGTGCAGATACTGCTTAGAGCTACGATGGATAGGATATTGTAGAGAGCCATGATCGCCCATGTCCAGAAAGGACACAGCATATAGAAGAAGAATATCAGATTTAGCACATTTAACATCTGATGTATCTGACAATAACATTTTTTTGATTTTGTGATGACCTGATTGAATTACAGTTGCATTTTAGCACCAACTACATAACTAAGTTTTCAGTATTTCATATCACTAGACCCTGATTTTACAGTGACTTCACCACCCATAAGCTATGCCATGCTTCAAATATGTTTTGTACCTACAAACATCTTTATAGGGGAATAGTATCCCAAGTCAGATATAAATACACTGCTTCCCAAAACTCAAGATATGACCAAACTGCAGTCAATTAAGCATTCTTATTTAAATAATTTAATTTGAATAATTTTAATTTTAATTTTAATTTTAAATATATAATTTGAATAATTTAAGAACATACACATTTGAATTCCACCCCATAATGGACCGGTAAATTGCTAGAGCAAAAAGCTGAGTTACTTCCCTTATATAATTTTTTTTAATCATTTTTTTTTTTTTTTTTTTTCATATTGTTAACCTTTAAACAAAATTTATTGAAACAAAACAAGTACAGTTGACCACTGATTACAATTTTTAAAACTAATTTCAAAAAATTACTAATTTTGTCATTATTTTTTTTTATCACTGTTCAAAAAATGGAATTGGACAGCAGTCTTGATGCTGAACAACACAAAACAAAAACCAAAAAAAAGACAGACACACGTGCACACAACACAGATGAAACAAACATTGGCACATCATTGAATGAAGATAATTAATGATGTCGGCTAAAAATTTAAATATGTTTCATTTTAGAATTCAACAAAATATGTATTA